ATATGAATCACAAGCCAAACTTACAGCACTAAAATCTGTTTCAGGTTCTTCTATGTGTATAGAACTTTCTAAACAACATTTTGCTTAGTAGTTTTCAACGCTGAGAGATTCTGGCTGCCTTAAGGCTGCCTTAATTTTATGAGGGTACTCTCAAAGCATAAAAACAGAAGTAGCAAATTTCTCCACCATCTTTTTCCAAAGTCCCCCAAGATGGAGTCAAGCATCATTGTTGTTTCTAGATATAGCAATTAGCACTTAGACTTATATACCAGCCCATAGTGCTGGTATACAACACTCTTTGAGTTTACAGTGTCAACATATGGTCTCAACAATCTGGGTCTTCATTTTACCAACCACAAAAGGATGGAAGGCCGAGTCAATCTTGAGCCGGTCAAGATCGAACTCCTGGCAATGGGCAGAGTTAGCTTGCAATATTGCATTCTAACCACTGCACCACCAGAAACATATGAGATTTACCCTGAAATTCTAAGTTCATAGAAATGGGCATGGATTCCGATTAGCGTCTTTCATGCAGAACATAAACCTGTGGCCATTTCATGCCAAATCAAAGATCCCCCAAAAGATGTAACAAGAGAAGCAAGTGGAGGAAAGGATGGAAAAAGAGGGAAAGATTCTCATTCCTAAAGAAGAGTTATCCCATGTTTGGATTCCACATATGGGTTGGGAAATGAGAAACAAAATATTGCCTTTAGGTTCCATAATGAGAAAGAGAAACAATTATTTTTGTCTCTTCTACAATTTGAGCTCTTCAAGCTCAAATTCTTCACCTATAATCATAATTTAAAATAATAGCTTCGTAATACCAATTGGGAAGGGTACAAAAGTCATCACAAGCAGATGCTTTGAAAAATGCAAACAGTATGCTTTTAAAGACAGCTTTTTATGAGAACATCCCACAGGAATGGAGGCTTAAAAAAGACCTTGTGAAACAATACCAGGATTTTCCCTAGAGTTGTGACTTTTGTTAACCTTTGAAAGTTTGCTTCACACTCTGTGAAAAAGGTGTTAGCTAGATACCAAGAATATCTTCTTCTGACTCTAAAGATAGATCACTTTGACTTTCCACAGCTGCTTTTTCAGTGGCTCCAAGCAAAAATTAGGAGCCACAACGTGATGGGGATGTGATTTTCAATCTTCACGTAAAAATCTGCATCTTGAAAATGAGATTCTTTGGTGAAACAACCTGAAAATCAGACGGTTTTTTAAATTGAACCTGAGATTATTCAAATTTAACTGAATTAAAATTAAATAAAATGAACTAAATATTGATAAAATAGTTATTTTATAATTTTACCCTATAGCCCCATAAAATAGAGCCTGCAAACAGAAGGAAACATGGTTGTTTTTATTTAGCTTAGCAGAGCAGCTATAGTGTCTTATTATTTGGCTAGAGGAAAGTCAGAATGCAATTCTCCTCAAGGCAAGGGTGAATTGATCACTGATAAGTAATCAATGGCAGAGTGGAGCAGGAGAAAATGCCTCACAACAAAAGGGAGGGTCACCAATTAGTATTGAATTAAATGTCTATGGAGATTCTCAGTCATCCAGGTCATGGTTGTCCCAAAGGTGCCTTTTTCAAGAGGCAACTGGACTTTCTGGTTTTTCTTTGAAGATGTTTCGCTTCTCATCCAAGAAGCTTCTTCAGCTCAGACTGGATGATGGGAAATGGAATGGAATATTGAATTAAACATACACTCTTAAATAGTTGCATAGAACTGAAACCTCAAAAATCTTTGGTAAATAAATGGCTTTTTTGTTGTCTTTTGAAGAACGCGTGAAACATTTTTTTCCTTTTTTTATACAACTGTCTCTGGAAAGGAAATGATGCTGTTTCCTTACCAAGGACGTTGGTTGACTATTGCTTCTCACCTAGATATCTGACAGCAGACATACTAAAACTGGATGTCACTCTGGGATTTTTTCAAATGCCAGTAGGGTGGGGGAGGGGAAGGAAACAGTTGATTTCTCTGTAGTCCAAGAAGAACAGAGTTCTTTTAAAAAAAAATGAAAATAGATGAAAGTTTAGAGGATCACTCAAAAAGAAAAACACTTCTAGACAATAATGGAAGTGAAAACAGGATGAAGACAATTAAAGATAAATAAAAAGCAAAATGAAATTCAGTATTCTCATTTATCTCTAAGTATGAGCCAAAAGAGGACTCTTGATTTGATAAATATTATAAATTTGATGAAGTTATGCCATTTATATTGTGCATCAAACAAAACAGCAAACAGTAAAGATTATACTTCCATACTGTATGTGCAAATATGTCAACGTGGATAAGTAGCATTCATTTGATCACGTATTGCTAAGCCATTGAGAGTTTGCTCCACACCTAATTTGGTTTGGAAATCTGTCAAAAAGTGATTTTCTGATAAAATGTATCTTTTCTTTAACCCACACTTGTTAACATATGAATAAGTAATAATAATAAAAAAACAAAACAAAAACAGAGGTGAGGGTTTATTATCCCTTTCTTAGGTAAACAGCAACTGGAATGGTCTTTTGAGCTTGCAATGGTTCTTTCACTTGGTCTTTCCAGGCACTCACCATTTAACTTGGTGTGAATAGCAGCAAGGGTTTTCAAGAGATTTCCCTTCGTATAAAATCTTCTTCACTGTTTTGTGGCTTGGGAAAGAAGATGGGGGGAATGTTGGAGGGAAGAGTAGCAATAGCAATAGCACTTAGACTTATATACCGCTTCATAGTGCTTTACAGCCCTCTCTAAGTGGTTTACAGAGTCAGCATATTGTCCCCAACAATCTGGGTCCTCATTTTACCCACCTCGGAAGGATGGAAGGTTGAGTCAACCTTGAGCCTGGTGAGATTCGATCTGCCAAACTGCTGGCAGCCGGTGATCAGCAGAAGTAGCCTGCACTCTAACCACTGCGCCACCACGGCTCAGTAGAGGTAAACTACTGCCTCAGCCCATTTTGTTTGAAGTAATAAATTGACAGAGACCTTTGTCCATCTTTGCACTTAGTCAACAAGCAAAATCCTTATTGCTAACTCTGTGGGTCCATCTCTGTGCCATATCAGTGGGATCTAGGTAGTGTAAGCTATATATCTCAATTGTAAAGGAGCATCTTTTAAATTAAGACCGATAAGATCTGACAGCTGTTTGTTATTCAATGTGAATTGCAAATTATTTTTGTAACAATTGTAATAATTTTTCCTATTGGTGTTATAGAGCCAGACAAAAGGAACAGAATGGAAACTAACATTAATTTATCCACTGGAAATTAACCAGAGTAAGAAAGGAAGCATTGATTGCTTATAGACAACACAGAGACGGAAGCATCTGCAAATTCTTGGAAGAAAAACGTAAATAATTTACAGAAGCCAAATGCTAATCTGAGGATTTATATATTAAAAGGAGTTCCAACAAATAGCAAGATAACATTTTGCTTATGCACTCCATTGTTCTTTCTTTGTGTTGTAGTAAAATCAGTTCCAGACAATCATGAATTACAGTGCTTTTTATCTTGGATTACATAAAAAGACTGGGAAATTCTGGGTAATTAAGTATTTGGACCAAGAGGTTAAGCAAGCTCTGCCAATAATATGGTTTTTTTTTAGTATAGCTATTTCAAGCTTTTTAGCTCTCATCAGCTAGCCATACCCTTCTGGGTTTGTTTTTTTTTCCTCTATTTAATTATTTTTGCTTTCTGTCATGTACCATTTGGCAGCAAATTGGTAGCTATGAGGGCCCAGACCCACACTTTTGTAGGGCCACAGCTGGCTTGAGGTTCTGCACTCATGTGCATTTCCGCTCTTAGAAGAACCTAGGTTTTTATGCATCCTTCATTCTTACTTCCTGTTCTTCATATATGAGGAGGTGCTTTTGAGATTTGTGGGACATTTAATGGTAGTATGAAATATGACAAAGAAGGCTACAGAAGCTATGTGGATTAATATCAAGTAATGCTGTAATAATATTGCAAAGCCACAGTGATATAATCCTAAATCATAGTGGATAGAAAAATGTTTAGATTTCTCTAAGAGACAGAAAACAGATTAAAGAGAGAGAGAGATAGACTAGATAGATAGATAGATAGATAGATAGATAGATAGATGATAGATGGATGGATGGATGGATGGATGGATGGATGGATGGATGGATGGATGGATGGATGGATGGATGGATGGATGGATAGATAGATAGATGATAGATAGATAGATAGATAGATAGATAGATAGATAGATAGATAGATGATGGATGGATAAAGATGATAGACAAGAGAGAGAGAGGGAGGGAGAGAGAGGGGGAGGGAGGGAGAGAGGGAAAGGGAGAGAGAGGAAGGAAGAGAGAGGGATACAAGCACATCTCATCAGCAAACAGCTTATTCAAGTATCTGAAGAGGAAAGCCTCGTTTGCCTTGAAGAAGTTCTCATAAATAGAGCCCCCTCCCAATTTGAATCTTTCTTATCTCCTGTTGCAGCTCCCATGTTATACTGGATGTGCTCCTCAGAGCATCAAGAATGTTGGGAAAAAGAGGAAAATTCATACACATAGAATTCTATTTATTAACATTAAACTCCAAATGAAAATATTTCCCTTATTTATCAGGAAATACATGATACATTTCAGGTATCATTCTAGACATAACCTCTTGAGCAATCACTTACTTACTTACTTGCTTGCTTACTTATTTATTTATTCTTTAGATAATCTACAAACTCTTACAAAAATCATAAGAATTTCTTGTAAGGGTTATATTCATCAAATGTCTCTTTTTCTAAGAGAACTTTATGCCAGCAAAACATGTAATGGTGATTTTGAACCTTGGTAATTATTAACCTATTCCTGGATGAAAGAGCGTATCATTTTATTGCCTTTAAAAATTCAACTCTAGTTATATTATAGGATGATTTGTTACATAACAAGACCAAAATTGGCAAAAAGGAAAAAATGAGACCATGTACAATTTCAGGAATTGATATAATAACCCATCTACAGGCAGCAAACCCCACTTACCTTGTCTAACAGCTAATGTTGTGGTGTAGACCAAAAATAGGAGAATGTAGTTCAGAAAGCTCTGAAAGACAGGAGTGTTGGCATGAAAATCATCTGACAAATACTTGCTGGTTAGGCTAATACCACAGATCAGCAGGGATAAGACTTGCCCCAAAGCTACAGATAACAGGAGCTCCCTAAAAGAAACAAGACAGAAACCATTTTGTTAGAACAGCCAAAGATGCCACTGGTAGAATGATTACTTCCCTCCCTTTGTTGTCTCCCTCCCCCCCCCCACCAGAACAGGGTGTCAAACTCAAGGCACGGGGGCTGGATCCAGCCTATGGGGTACTTAGATCTAGCCTGTGGGGCCACCCTGGAAACAGCAAAGGATTGGCCCATGGTGCCTCTGCCAGTGAAAACAGAGCTCAGGAGGGCAGCAGGCAGCCCTCTTGAGCTCCATTTTTTTTTTTTTTTGCTTTAATTTATATGCCGCCCTTCTCCGGAGACTCAGGGTGGCTTACAATGTGTTAAGCAATAGCCTTCATACTTTTGTATATTTATACAAAGTCAGCTTATTGCCCCCACAATCTGGGTCCTCATTTTACCTACCTTTGAAAGGATGGAAGGCTGAGTCAACCTTGAGCCTGGTGAGATTTGAACTTGCAGTAATTGCAAGCAGCAGATGTTAATAACAGTGCTTTAGTCCACTCTACTACAGGCTCATTTTTGCTGGCAGAGGACTTGCAGGAGGCCATCGCAGCTGAAAATGGAGCTCAGGAGCCCGTTTTCACTGGAAGAGCACTCAGGCCGCCACAGGAGCCCCCAACATGAGTGAGGTCGAGCTGGTTATGCCCACCCTGGCCATGCCCATCCTGACACACACACATCCCGAGGTCAAACATAACCTTGATGCAGCCCTCAATGAAATCGAATTTGACACCCCTGCCATAGAAGCAATGAGGAGGAAAAGGAAGAGAAATCTTCCTTTTTACTCATAAAACAGCATGAAGCCAATATTAAACGTGCTTAGAGAAAATAGAAAAATGGCAGCATGATCATAAAACCGAATCTAACCAATGGAACTCATGATATCAGTGTTTTACAAACTTCTCAAAGTAGACCTTGGAAAGTGAGAATATTGAGCACATGCACATATGCACACATTAAACATGCAAGAAAAATAAACTGGAGAACTACTCCCAATGGTGAAGTAAGTGGGGCATTTATTGTTACACTAGCTGGATGCCTGTGCTTCACTACGAAACTATGTGATTGGGCGTGATAAATTGACACTTGAAGCCTGAAACTTAATGTAGAATGTGTAATTCCATAGCATCAGGGCGTGTTAATATAAGGCAACTGGCATTTGGAACAGAGGGGGAGGGGAGGAGGAGTAGAATGTCCCAGCCCGCAGGCCGCATGAGTCACGCACTGGCCACGGCCACTCCTGGTTTAGCGGTAGCATCAGAGCGTGTTACTATAAGGCAACTGGCACTTGAACAGAGTTCTTTTCAGGTGGGGAAGGGAAGTAGAATGTCTAGCTCCTTAGCATCAGAGCATACACAGAGGCATCTGCTCAATCTAGAGGTTTCACCTTGGTAACAAAGTGTGTCCAGCTTTTGTGCAATGTCATGATACATGGAGTAGTTTTCATTGCAACATCACAGTGAATACCCATGTAAAATGTATACCCCGTTATTCTGCCAATGGACTGAGATTTAATATTAGAAAAAATGCACCTCAAATACTCAATTTTTAATCTAATCTAATTATATTCCCCAGAAAATTGCATCTGAGTAGATTTAAAAGGAACGCTTCAAACTAAGGTTGTGTTTCACACACACACACAGACACACAACATATCTCAGGTAAATCCTCTGTATTTTCCTTCACCATGCACAGACAAAATACTATGTTGCTTGATAATGTAATTGTTGCATGATTAAAATTCACAAAAAAGAGCTTTATATTTTGGGGAACACTTTCCCTGGATTTGGTATTTATAGGTTCCTTTTGCTGAAATTCAACTGTTTGTCACCCTATTTCAGTAGTTCATTTTCAGAGACCTCACGTGACATATAGGTTCCTGGGCCTTGGGCTACATTGACCCTCAACTCTGTGTTCATTGGGAGCAGAACCTTAACTCTTCAAGACTATCTCCCCCAATCAGCTGCCATTACTGCAACTCCTGGTTGAAAATTATGGATTTTCTTTTCTAACATATCAGAATGGTGCCAGCCAGGGGTAGGATTCAAAAAGTTCAGCAACCGGTTCTTTGCCCGGTTGCTGGGTGGGTGTGGCCATGGTGGGCATGGCCTACTCGGGCTCCTGCACCATGGCGGGGGGGTGTTTTCACCCTCCCCAAGCCCCGGAGGCTTTCCTTGAGCCTCCAGGAGAGTGAAAACAGCCTCCCCCAGGCTCCGGAGGCCCTCTGGAGGCCAGAAACGGGCCCATTTCCGGACTTCCGGAACTTCCAGGAGGCCCATTTTTCACCCTCCCAGAGTATCCGTGCAGGCACTGCACTTACCTGGCATCCAAAACAGGCAGTGTGGAGACTCCCAGGAGGGGCAGGGTGGGGTGGGCGGGGCCAGCCAGTCCTTGCAACTACCGGTTCAGCGAACCAGATATAAAATTAGCATCAGGTTCGCCTGAACTGGTCTGAACTAGCTGAATCCCACCCCTAGTGCCAGCCTACAAAAGCAACTTTATAGAATTGATACTGATAGGACAATCCAGTAACAAATGTGAAATACTATACTTTGCTTTTCATATTTGTGAGATACAGAATTTGAGTATACCTTTAAACAACAATCAGAGTTTTCATTCTTTAATCCCCAGAGTCAGTTTTAATCCAACCTATGATCATCTTCATCATTGCCAATCTCAGAATACAAAGAACACCACATGAGGCAATCAATGCACCCTCCCAGCTGAGCAACAGGAGGAGACAAATAGCAGTATTGAACCATTATCCAACTCTATAACCATGGTTGATGTTACGGAAAGTAGCTGGATTCAGGGATGTTACCAACCCATCAATTACCATCCATGTGCTCAATTTAAAATGGCATGATGGTAGGGCAAAATTTCTGCAGGGTAAAAAGAGACTGTAAGGCAAAGTAAAGAAAGATTTTACACTAGCAGGAAAATAATCTCTTTACACATGCTCATCAACAGAGCTTTAATGCTTGGATGGGAAAAGTACACTTCTGTCAGAGTTAAACTAGCTAAACTATCATATGGGTGCAGAGCTAAACATGAATGTGGTAGACATCACACATGGAGCTGCCCTTAGTTCCACACTATAAGTAGTACTCATTTAATGACCACAAACATTAGCTTTGTGTTAATAAGGAAATGTACGCGTTGTGACAATATGTTCCTTGAGGGAGGTTTCCATAAATTTTTCTTTCATCCTTGGGAACATTCTTAACCATGTTTTTAGTATGTGAGATTTTATGCAGAAATAGTATTTGAAGCAATGAAAAATTTGTTGAAGCTTCAAACTTGATACAAAGGCCACTAAACTCATGAGATTTACCGAGTATTCCTATTGCATTTTCTCACTGTGATTTTAACAACTGGTGAGATGGCTTCAACCACCAGTTTCTGATGCTGACATATAAAGTTGTCCAAACTGCCATGTCCCCTGATGTCTAGATTCTAAATTAATTATACTGCTTAAGAACTGCTTGCCTCCCATAACTATGTCTTAAACACAGCAATTTCAGAAGCAAGATACGTAATATAGATAAAGCAGGTGTGTATAGTGCTTCAAGACATAAGATGAACAAAACCCAATATTAAATCTATAAATCATTTCCGAATTGCCAAACTCAACAAACAATTCTTTATATAAACCGCACCTTACATTCCTATTGTACTGAATTAATACTGAGGAAAATAAATTAAGCAACTGCAAAATTAAATTTAACAAGGGCTAAAGATAAGCTTGGAATTCACAGGAAATATGGTTCTTCAATTTTAGATACAAGTTAAAAAAAACAATGGTTCCAGTTCATCAGTTTTCCCTCAGGCAGCGAGATAAATCTTTCCCATACAGGCTGGCTTTCAGTACAGCGAGACAGTTTTTGACAATCTGGTAAATTTATTACAGGCTGGTCACATGTGGGGGAAACAGTCTTAGTAAAAGGTAAACACACACACACAGAGTGCTGAACTCGTTTTCCTTCTTTTAATAGAGTTTTAAATTGCAGGTGTCTGAGTGAGTTTATGTTTTGGTTTATATTTTTTATATTTTTATATAAGTTTATATTTCCTGAGCTATGGAACTAAGTTCCAGTGTCAAATATTCAGATGCTGGAGCTTATTAGAGCCAGTTAATATATCTCAAGGTTGATCCTTTAAACCAGAAGTCTCCCACATGCTCCTTTTGGGCACATTACGCGAGCAGAGACTTTCTTTGGCAAGCACCAGATTTTGACCTCATCTGACTTTTGATATTAAAGATAGTTTTAAAAATGGGAAGCTGACATACTGGCAAAATAAGGTGCCAGGGACCAATGTCATTTTTAATTCTAGCAATGCCTCAAGGCTCAAAATAGGCTCTTTCTTTCAAAAGTAAAAATGATGCATGATGGGCATGGAAAGTGTTGAAATGTTAAGGTTAGGTCTCCATAGGACACTCTGAATACACACACACACACACATATTTTTTTTAAAAAGTTTTTACTTTGTATAGTAGTATAATCAAAATACTGGTATCTTGATACATTGTCTTTATTGGTGTTCATTTTTAAAAAAATTTCATATATTATTTCTATTTCTATTTTCTTCTTGCATATTGTGACATTTATCCTAACATTTTTTTTATCCTTCTTGTTCCACTCATGTTTTCCACTCATGAAATACTATGTAGGCAACTTTGTATGGACACTAACTATGTCCTTCATAAAGGGCACTTTATGAATAGAGAGACCCCAGTGGGGCCAACTGGTGACTGCATTGATCAACTGTTCTCAAAACCCAGAGTTCCCAGGCTGAAGAGTTTATCTATCTTTCTTATCTACCTTAAAATAACAGGTTGCCAAAAGTAGGATTTGATGTAAATGCCAATCAGAGGGCCCGATGAATCAGTATAGATTTTGAAGCATATAAATTGGTTAAACAAGGAATGAACTTCAGATATTGCCAGACAGATCTATAAGACAGTTGAAGGTTTTAAGATCCATCC